TTGCGTTGTCAACGATTCCACCACGGATCAGTCGCCTGTGTGCAGCTACGCAGGCGCAAGTATCACATTGAAGGCATGAGTAGAATTACTGTATTTACTTTAATAGAAGCGTATTTTCTACACTCTACAGTGAATTAAAGTTCATTAATTGTTAAAAAACGCACGAGTCGATTTCTGTTTAATGATAATAAAATAACAATATAATAATATTATAGTAATAAGTTGATCACGTTACGTATTTATATTAATTGTCTGATATGCGTTTTTGAGGGGAATAACATTTTGGTGTGCCGTGTTGAGTCATGGATACGTCATGGTGTGCCGCGGGTAGAAAAAGGTTGCGGAACACTGATCTAGACAATCGGCTCAAAGATGGCGGTAAGGTTATCAGCCTTACGCGCCGGCCGCGCTTTACACCCCAGGAAAATTATTTAATTCATTCTTGGTACTCATTTCTGTTAGAGGCTAAGTCAACGCCAGGGCCATAGTGCGGCTGGAAGGATTACAGGGGAGAAAAGGTTTCTTAGGTCAAATCAATTAAATTTTTAGGTCTGCACTTAAAATCTAATCTAGCCTGGGAGGACGCAATAAACGCAATAGTTAGGAAATGCGAAAACCCGCTGAAAATCGTGACCTGTGTGAAGCACACTTGGTGGGGAGCGGACTCCGTAATCTTAGTGGGACTCTACAAGGCACTTATAAGGTCGAGGATGGAACATGGAGCATTTTCATTTCATAAACTCAAGAAGAAACAAGCACAGACGCTAGAGATGATACAACCTAGAGCAACAGTCGGAGCACTGGGCTATGGGAGTTGTACCCCAACCAATGTAATGCTAGCAGAAGCCAAAGAAATCCCAGTCTTCAGTAGGTTCAAACAGCTGGGAAGGAACTGTGTGTCCAGGTGTTACACGTCAAGCAATCATCCAAGAGCCCAGCTGCTGGAAGAATTATCAGCTCTAGTCGATAAACCAGGGAGAGGAGAAAATGAATAACCACTGATCAGCGAATATTACAAAGAGGTAACCCCTCCGGACATACGAGTATAATCCAATCAGCGAACTGTCCTACGGCCTTCAACTACACAAAGAAAGCCTATTCTGAGAGGCCAGGGCATCTTTCGATGAGGGAAGACAAAGGAAGCAGAGGGCCACAACGAGAAATTCAAAAACATTTTCCAAGAAACAACGAGAACCAGCAAATGTTTCGCCATGGACGGCTCAAAAATGGAGAGCAAACCATTCGTAGGATTCGCATCGATAGATATAAAAGATGGTCTTAGCATGAAATTCAGAACAGTTAAGATAGCGTCCACATTCAAGGCGGTAGCACTAGCAATTGGCGAAACACTAGAAATCATGGAGCAAAACTTCGTGATTTTCTAGGACTCGGAAAATTAGTAGCTCCTCTACAATGAGCGCCGCATCGCACATTGCTCAGCTGCTTAAGGATAAAACAGAGAGACTGGAATCGCGAGGAACAAATCCCGGGGCAGCGCAGAGTTGATGTTAATGAGAGGGCCGACTCGGAGGCAAAGCAAGCAATCAATTACTATTACCAGTGGCAGATCTTAAAATCCAGTGGAAAAAGAAAGGCAAAGAAGAAATTGACAAAACACCAAGCGGGACAGAGGAGAAAGCTACTTTGAAAGCTGCTAGAGGAAAGGCTCGTCTCCGTGGTTCCGACAGGTAAAAATGAACCGCCGTGCCCTCGTGTCAATAAACCGTATGAGAGCGGGTCACACCAGTCTTAAAGCAAGCTTAAGTAGAATTAACATTGTGTCCACGGTCGAATGTGAATATGGTGACGGGCTGCAAACGGAGAACATATCTTCCGGGATTGTAAACTGTACCAGGACCAACGGGCAATAATGATGAACATTTTGTCTGAGAACAGCAAAAAGATATGTGCAAGGCGTCTGTCACTTCATAAACAACATTTATTTCAAAATTTATATGTAATAAATGAAAAAGCAGTNAAGTGATGGACATTTTGACTGAGAACAGCAAAAAGAGAATAATCAAAGGCAGTTACAGAACTCTTAAGGCTAGAAGAAAAAAGATGTGTGCAAGGCGTCTGTCACTTCATAAACAACATTTATTTCAAAATTTATATGTAATAAATGAAAAAGCAGTAAATGTACAAAATAATAATTGTATATCACACAGAGATATTGGGTTTTCGGACTTCATCCGTCGTCCTGGTTTTAAGACAACTAAGAAAAACACGACGTTTCGGAAACTGGATCTGTTTCCGTCCTCAGGTGAGGGAAAACACCTATTCTGTTGGGTCCCTTAGAAAGAGCTAGCCTTAATCCAGTGATCCAGTGATTGAGGCTAGCTCTTTCTAATGGACGCAACAGAATAGGTGTTTTCCCTCACTTGATGACGGAAACAGATCCAGTTTCCGGAACGTCGTGTTTTTCTTAGTTATCTTAAAACCAGGACGATGGAGAAAGTCCGAAAACCAATATCTCTGTGTTATACACCATCGTCAGAATCCTATAGTAAATATTAGTATATTCTCAGATTTAAGTTAAGATATTAAGATTCGCCAGGAGGCCCTTGTAATAGAATAAGATGTTTATAAGAATGTGCTACAGAAGGCAGGATGGGCACTGCCTAGGCCATTTTTTGTATTTACAATTATTTTTCACAATAAAAAATCCAAAAAAGTCCTGGCAGCAGACGCGCATGCGCATGTTCTGAGGCTGGTTTCAGTAGTCAAAATGACGACCGTGCTAGAGTGTGCTACCGGAGAGTAGCGTTTCACACACATACAGAACAATCTAAGTCGTTTATCCAGAGAATCCGCCCACGTCCGAGGCCCTTCTGACATTTCGTAACAAGTTTATTTTTTACGGAGAGGCGTTGTAAGCCCCACGCCCAACCCCCAAGCTGGAGGACCACCCCTTGCCGGCCGGCCGCAACAACTGTCCACATCTGGAGCCCGTTTCCTTCATCCGCAGCCTCAGGATGGTGGGTGTCGTGGTTACAAGGGCCCCGCTTAACTAAGGGAAGTAAATGTTGTGGTCCGCTACAAGATTCGCATAAACAACGAAAGAACGCCAAGGCCAAGGTCAAACGTACCATGGCTAAGAACACATTTGAAGCAACTGGAATGGGCCTGTGTACACCCTTCCATGCTTGCTTCTAATCAGGTGCGATAAACGCTCTAACCGGAAAAGCAAACTGCTTAACACGAACTTTAAGGAGCGCCCAGCTCAGAGTAAACCGGAGTTGGTCCATGCCTCAGTTATCAGATATCCTTCTGAAGCCCAGAGCTCCAACTGAAATCCGTTTTCCCGCACTCAGACTCGGTAGAGGAAAGTGGAGAATCAAATTGCCGCCCGTGTACCACGTGAAATGAATGGGACAAAGTTCCTGGGGTTAGTGAACGCATCGCGCACTTGTGGCCGCGAGCAGACACCAAGGCCCTGAGGACAACCTGCTGTCTGTGACGGGTCTCATTCAGGAAGCGTGTGTTNGAATGAATGGGACAAAGTTCCTGGGGTTAGTGAACGCATCGCGCACCTGTGGACAACCTGCTGTCTGTGACGGGTCTCATTCAGGAAGCGTGTGTTCCACAGTCACGGTACTCACTGCACCGACGGAAGTCAAATCAGGACGCAATGGGGATTCAAACCCCGATGACACAATGTGAAGGGTCAGAAGGAGGAAGCAGAGGAGGAGAAGAGGCAGAAGACTACGCAGGAGAAAGAATAAGAGCGGTAAGAAAGAGAAGGCAGCAAACTGAAGTTTATCAACATCTTGACTATTCACACAGCTACTACTGCTCGCACAGATTTGTATCCCCGGAGATTTTACTCTGAAATCAACGGAACTATACGCTGTGAATTATTCAAGAATCTTCCGACGTTTCAACGGAACTGCAGCTACAATTTCACTGTATCACAAATTAAACCATGTGCAGTGTGTGCCTCTTGTTCTGTTTCCCGGTCGTGGTACGTAAATCTACGTCAAGCAATCTAGGAAACAAACCTTAATCTGTAAAATCAATATCTCAAAGGTTCAGTGCTGTACTCACTAATTCGGCCTTAATGTGAGTCCTGTTTGGAGCGGGGTGACCCCGTGTAGTAGAATTACCAGTGTTTACTTAATTACTGCCTCAAGGAACCAGTGGTATTTGTGTAGTCACGAAGTCCTAACGACTGACACATTAAGGAGGATATCCGAAATGCCGAAAATACAGCACACCCACACTGCCACGATTAAAAAGTGGGACCCACATGAGCACGGAACCGTCTATACTACACCGCATCTTGCAGGAGTCTGTAAGACTGGGTGGGAAGGGGGGAGAAGAAAGACAGAAAGAAAGTGGTAAGGTAGTGAGAGGCACTACATTTTAGGGGGAGAGTAAGAAACTATACTCCGGTTTTGAAGGTTCCCAGGCAGTGCCCGCTCGTCCTACTGGTAGGGTTAATGCATGATCGGAATTAACTTCTTTTACATGATGCTGGAAGGACCGCGTTGTGATGAAATCCTGGCTAATATTGGGAGGGCTATATTAAGGCGAATCAATGGGAGGGCTGCATGTGAACGTGAAATTTGGGTACTAGCTCAGTATTTGTTCTGGGATCGAGGAAAACCACGGAAAAACTTGATCGAGTTCGTCGGTTGCAGGACCTTCCGGATGCAAAGTGACTTCTAGCCAGCAGTCCGGCATTGAATGCGCGAACCCTAACGTTGGTCCCTGTCTGGCTGTTGCTTTACTTGAGGAAACAGTTTACATATTTGTTTCTACATGTTTTTATTCTTCATATATGTGCATACTTCGGATGAGCGGCAAACAGCTGTGTATAACATCTGCAGGGGGAGGGGGAACCCTATACGCACACACATGGATACAAATACATATATTTATATTTGTAATTGCTTAAGCATTGATGAATTTAAATCTCTCTTGTGGGGGGAGGTTTGTTGCTCATCCAGTAATACAGTTGACATTTAATCCCTTCTTTCTTTCCACCATGTTGTCCAGCAAAGTGGCCGCCGGACTACTGGACGTTTAGAAAGGCTTTCAATCTTCCGGTTACCTGTAAAGAGATCTTAGAGCGAATTATCTTGCAAACAGGGATAGGGGACGTAGAAGTTTGTCACCGGTGGGATCCCTGTGTCCTAGTTCTTGAATCTGACTGTTTTCGCTGGTTAGAGCCTCTCAATAAAGTGGCCTCGTTAACCTCTTGAAATGACTATTAATGGCATTCCCGTCTGTTCGTGTAAGGTTGCAACTGGTGTTACTCGCGGTAATTTTGTTATTATCCTGACTTTATTTTGAAATGTCTGTAATTTATTTGTGTTAAGTGCTGGCACCATGGGGGTACGCGGTAGCGCAGTTGGTTGAGGCACTATGCTACAAGGCGGAAGGTCGCGGGTTCAAGTCCCAATGAGGTCACTGGATTTTTCAATTGACCTAATCCTTCCAGCCGCACTATGGCCCTGGGGTCGACTCAGCCTCTAACTGAAATGAGTACCAGGAATATTCTTGGGGGTGAAGGGCGGCCGGCGCGTAAGGCCGACAACCTTGCCACCATCTATGAGCCGAATGTCTAGAAAATGTGGGAACCTCAACATCTCACAACCCTACGGGCCTTCACGGCCTGTTACAGGGATACCTTTACTTTACTTTTTACTCTTTAAGTGTTGGCACCATAGCCCCATGCGGGAGAGGCATATGACAATATGGAACGGAGAACTGATTTATAATTTATTAACGCTAATTTATGTTAATGGTGGACGATTTATTTAATATAGGGAACAGTCGTCTCAGCCTGTAATTATCTTTGCGCAAAATTCGGGATATGTGGGTTCTGTACGTTAATTTTGAGTCAAGTGTAACGCCAAGATACTTTGTTTCCTTAGTCCAAGCTCGTATGTTTTGTTAGAAATTTTGAACGGATGCGTACTGGGGCGATAGTGGCGCAATCGTTTGGAAAAGACAGTAAACGTGCATTTTTGTATTAATCCTTATTCTCCATTTCCGGAACCTCGGTTCTAAAGGGCCTGTGGGACAGTTTAACCGATATGAGTACCAAGGATCTTCCTGAGGGTAAAGGGTGGCCGGAGCATAAGGCTGACCTCATCGCCATCTGTAAGCCAACTGTCTAGACAATATGGGAGCCTCGACGTCTCGCAACTCTATGGACCTCCACGACCTGTTACAGGGATAGCTTTACCTTTTTCTTTTTACACATTTAACACAATACAAGATTGTATTCATGATGCCGAGAAACACAAGGGCTACGATACATAAATATGAATCAAAATTAAATTTATGAGACAACTTTTCTGTAGAGCTCTTATATCAGATTCAGTGAAACCCATCAAGTGTGTTTCGTGCTGATACGATTACACGCCTGCGCCAAGCGTTCTCGAATGCTGACTGCGTGAAACAGGCTTTGGAAGAGCCCTCGTGCCGCTAAAGGTTCGCCACCCAGACAGTAGAATGTAGACCATTATTTCAACAGGCTGACTGCATGAAACACAAACCCGTGAAATCGGTTTCCATTTCCTGAGTCACTGTACCTGAACGGATTCGCACCATTGTCGGCGCGGTAACTTCTAATTTACACAAGGCATATGCACTTGCCACCAAATTCCAAACAAATCGAAAGAATTGAGGCTTTCACGGCGGTGACTATGAAGAAAGCAGTCTTCTGGGATTTGGCACCGTGTATATGTGGTGTTAACCGACGTTTTTTCTTCTACCCTGAAGATGGAGGCGATACGTTCCTCCGAAACGTCGGTTAACACCACATATACACGGTGCCAAATCCCAGAAGACTGCTTTCTTCAAACCGAAACAAATATGACCAGTACCATCTTCTGGGGTACAGTGTCGTGTAGTCGGCTGAAAGTCAACCAATATTATATCCCTGAAAATAGTATTCTGCATAACCACCGCTGTCAGAACATAAAACCTAAACGAAAGAAACAGATTCGCTTGGTGAATTATTTTGCCCTTTTCTGTTTTAGTGACAAGTGATTTTGCCAAAAAGTTTCACATCTTAAAACGATGCTATACGCTCTGTTCCCGACTGCCCTGTGACGTTGCTGTGCTGTTTCCATTCGCCACGACGCGGCAACTTACCTGAAGGGCGAAGTTGAGTTCCAGTTCCGTATCTAACAGTCCATTTTGGGGTAAAGACATTTCATTTGACCGAAGCGTCCGTTTGGAACCCTGAAATAGACAAAATTATGTGTTAAGTGCATGTAAACTGAGTATAACAGCACACTCTCGCTAATCCGGATTTTGGATAATCCGAATCGAAAAATGAAAAATGCTGTTCACAGTTGAGTATATACTTTAAGGGATACGTGGCATTTAGGAAGGCAGATGAGTCACTTGTCTGTTCAGACAAAACTTGATAGTTTCTTCAAACCTACATTATTATTAAGTTGAAAAGCAAGTACAAATTCTGAGTGTTCTATCGCTGAATAACCGTATTGTACTTTTACAATTTTGAAACAAACGCTCTGCGGCGACATTTTTTTTTTATTTATTGTCATCAGCACTACTTACATCATTACATTTTCCAGTATTTATGCTCTAAGTTCTTTTGTCTTTTAGGACTTACATTTGCTTCATTAATCTCGATTACTGCTTAATCTGGACGATCCCCCCCCCAATCAGTACAGATTAGCGAGAGTTTACTATGCTTTGATGTGAGACAATGTTGTTTCCAACCATTTATCATTGTGATCAAACATGTAACATTCCATTTGAACAGCTGCATTCATAAACTTTTCAAAAGAGAATTCCCAGGCTAAGAAAAAAATAAAGGCACAATACCGTGCACGGATGTAGACACACGAGTCAGCCAACGTGGGCCAGGTTGTGGAATGAATGTCTTATATTATTTATAACAACTTCAAAAGATAGAATCTGTGAACATATCGCTTCGTGACCTATTCTGCGACCCCTGTGCGTGACGTGTGAGTGGGGGAACAGTGGCTGACGTGCTATACAAGTAGATACTTGAAACTCCATCCTCATTTGAGCACCCACGCCAGAACAGCACGAAGTCGTCACCGAACTTTCTTCACCCCAGATTTGGAGGGGAGTCTGTTTCATGTGGGAGTGACTTCAATTTTTCCTATTTTCCAACAAGACATGTGCTTCAGGCCCCGCAGAAGTCATGCCCCAGGGGTTCCCACAACTCCCCGGGATCAAAATCAGCCATGAGTGTGAAGCTAAGAGCTTCATGTAAATTCCACGATGGTGCATAACACTCAGAATTACTGTTTTTTTTTTTTGGACTTTGTCCGTTGTCCAGTATTCTAAAAATCAGAGAACATAACCTTTTGGAAACTGGATCTGTTTCCGTCCTCAGACGAGGAGTGAGCTACCTGTTCTCTTGGGTCCCTTAGATAGAGCTAACCTCAAATCACTGGACAACCCATCTCAGTATAACTACAGCTATGTAAATATCTGAGACCAGGCTGTATCAATGGGAGATAACAGGAAAATATTCAATACAAACTGTTCTCTAGTTTTAGAATAACGGACGACGGACAATGTAAAAAAAAAACGGCAATTCTAAGCAATAGCGCCATGCTCATTCGGTTCTCACGGGTGAGAACTTGCAGAGCTTGGGTTCCATGCCCATACTCACTGCCCACAGAAGAGGCTCTGTTGCTGCGCTGTCTTCCCCGGAATGACTCACACTTATCGAGTCCTCTTGCAAGCAGTTTTGCTTCCTATATGGGAGGTACCGAATTAATACCGGCTATTTCGCAACCTTCTAAGAACCACGGACTCCTTTACGACAGACGAGCATACACCCTATTATTTGCCTTTTGACTCAGTTTCTTTATTTTCAGCTCTCGTAAATCATTCTCTTCATTTTCCAGAATGATTTAAGACACGTCGGTTACTATAAATTTCCGTGGTTATTATGAACCCTCCACTGGGAAAATACCTTAAAATAGGCCACGTCTTTCTGAATTCATCATCCGTATTCATCCAGTACTTTTTTACAGGCCATTATACAGTAGTAGGCTATGCTACAAGCCGGAAGGTCGTGGATTCAAGTCCCAATGAGGTCATTGGCGTTTTTCAGTTGACCTAATCCTTCCAGCCGCACTACGGCCCTGGGGTTCACTAAGCCTCTAACAGAAATGAGTACCAGGAATTAATTAAATAATTTTCCTGGGGAGTAAAGCGCGGCCGGCGCGTAAGGCTGACAACCTTACCGCCATCTTTGAGCCGATTGTCTAGATAATGTGGGACCCTCAACGTCTCACAAACTTATGGGCCTTCACGGCCTGGTACAGGTAGTATGTTTGCAAGAGAAAATATCTGACCCGTTCCGGATCAAGAACCACAGTCTAAAGCCCCAATATACGAAACGAATTCGTAAGGGAGAAATTCAGAAATCGTAAAGCCTGCATTTCAAGACATCACACTGGACTGAGTGGGACATCCACTTACACGGGGCTGGTTCAGTGACGAAGCCAAAACGAGACTAAAACGAATTTAAGGTACTGCACTGAACTGAATTTTCTTCACAGACATTTCAGGGAGGACACGTTTCGAATGACGTAAGCCTGCTTGGGACATGACTATCAGCCTGACAGCAACACAACTACGCCACTGTGTGGGCGGAAGTTGGGTATAATACAATTCCGTCAGTGGTCTACAGTTCTGTCTCCTCCACAGCAGTTATCTGGCATTACGCTGTCAACACTTGCAGCTACTTTGCAGAACTGTCAGCTAGCCTTCATAGCGTCGAATAATGAATTGGAAAATACTTGGAAGCAGGCACTCGGTACTAAGGAAAACCAGGAAAATCTGTCAGGGCAGACAGGGCGCCGGCCGATATTCGAACCGGGCAAGTCTCGAAAGCGAGCAAAGAGCACCGCCGCTAAATGAAGGTGGCCGGGTATAAGAACCGTAACGAAGTAACTGCGAAATAAGTGAGATTCAGCTGATTCAAGGCCCGCGATCCACTGGCAGGCTTGTAGGGCTGAATATTTGGGATACAGCTCGTTTCAGAGTTCCGCCAGGTTGAGCATACCTAGGCAAAACGGCGTTTCAGCACTAGTTCAACAAGAAGTACATGGAAGTACATGCTATATACAATATATATACGTTACGGCAACTGTACATTGTACACACACGCAGGGCCCGTGGCCATAGAACACACATGAGTAATCTTCAAGTGACGGAAAACAGAAATAAATCTCATTAGTTGAATTGATACAGGTATTCCACAAACAAGCGTCTTCCATAATTTAAACCTAGAACATTGTAGACGAAGGTCCGAGCATTGAATGTCCGACACTGTGAACGGACGTCGGTAGCGACTGCCGCTGGAGATCTACAGCAGAACGTTACGAGCGGACTATACAATGGGCCGTGTCGGCCCGGCAAACACGCGTCAAGCTCAAATCGACTCTTCAGACATGCTCTGACTTCCCGCGTAAGTCAGGAAATTGGGCCGTGCCATAGCTCAAGCGCTTAGTTAGTTAGTTAGTTAGTTATTGGAGAGGGTGGGTTTCCCCATGCACTTAGACCTGTATTGGTCCATTGTGCTTCCCTCTATGATTTCTACCAGTCTCTATATCCTACCGGTACTGGTACTTACCATCAGTCCCACCCAGCCAGCGAGACCGGCTCTACTAGCTAAGAGGTATCTATAATGCTTCCCCCATCTACCAGAGGTATTAGAGACTGCTGTTGGGCGGGAAACGTCCGTAATTTGGCTCAGTGACCTCCTTTGGAGATATGAGGTTCTTTTACGTGCCGTAAAGCTAAGACACGGGACCCACGGCTTAAAGTTCCTCCCGGAGGACTTGTTCCCTGAATTTTTTAGCTCAAGCGCTTAGTCGCTGGCTTCCCATCGCGGTGGTCCGGGTTCGATCCCGGGTCTGGTCAAGTGGGATTTGTGGTGGCTAAAGTGGCGTTGTAGCAGGTTTTCTCCGAGTACTTAAGTTTCCCCTGCCAATCTTCATTCCACCAACTGCTCCATAATCACCCTCACCTATCATCTGGGGCTGGTACAATAGGCCAGAAGTGGCCGCAGTACAAGGAACTTAGTCCCACCCCACTAGCATTAAAAAAGTTAAGAATTTATCCATTCATCAATGGCTCTACAGCCCTTTGTTGGGCCCTGGTCTCTCCTTCAGTTTGTAATATTTTTTTTACAGAAACGGTAGGACTCTTTGGACGAGTGATCATGCCGTCGCAAAGTTTTGAATTACTTTTTCTTACTTCAGCAGCAGTAGGGTGAGACTGAGTCCACGTGGTACTGCGGCCACTACTAAGCCTATTTTAACAGCAGCGCAAATTGAGGAAACGGAAATGCAGTTTCCTCAATTTTCGCTGCTCCAATGAGTAACATGTGTTCAACTCAGGCTGATAACAATTCTCGGAAACTGAGGCTGCCAGTTTCCTTGGTGTGCCTTCACCCTAAAGCCCGAACACAGGGAAGTGAGAACGCGCGCTGCGCATTTAACATAATTACTGCAGATGGAAAAGCGTTGCTAAATGAATCCAAAGCCACACGACTGATAGATACAACGAGAGGAGAGTATTGAATAAGTGGTCGTGGCCTACTTTAATTGTGGTTTATTTAGTGAGGGCGTCAAAATATTATAATTCGGGACTACTGAACTGAAAAGGGTGTGGGAGGAAGTGGTCGTGGCCTAATCGAGGCAATATGCCGGCATTTACTGGAGGGACTGTCGTGACAGTCGTGGCAGAATGCAACCCGCCTTGCACAGCGTCGCTGCAGCCTTATCACCTCTCCACTGCAATATCGCGTGGCAACGTCCTGCACGTGCAGGCCAACCGGGCCGAGCGTTTCAGCGCTCTTCATTCAAGCACACGTCCGCTCTGCGTTCAGAAATTGTATTCCTCTGGCCACAAACAGAGTCTGTGATCGAGGGGACATTTCTCGACCTAAAGATCGAAATCCTTTTGAGTTAACTGGGGCAGTGCTTCCCATGGCTGAAGAACTTCCATTCTGTTCAACTCAGAAACATAAAACATCCCCCTGGGTGCACTGACAAGCCGACTGTGGCCCGACTGGTCTGGACAGCGGAAGAATTAGAGTTCAGACAGTTTATAATTCTGAGAACGTCCAAGCGGTACTAAATTTCGTTCGAAGTGCAATGTAGCAAGGGCGGAGTGCTTGCCAATAGAGCAGTGTAAATCCTGTGTCATGACTGACTTAT